TATGCAAATTAAAATTACTAACTAAATCCCCAAACTGGGGAAGAAAATAGGTTTTATTCAAATTAAATTACTACAATACAATCCAGTTTGTACTCCAATTTTTTCTTTCTTTTTTTTTAATCTAAAAGAAGGATAAAATAAAGTGTTAAGTATGTCCTTTGCAAAGGAAATTCCAGCTCTCACCTCTCAAGCAACATCTGTACTCAGTTTTTGTTTTAATTTGATCTAACTGGAGTATAACACAACTTTCTTCTATAGACTTTAGGAACTGCTTTAACTAATTTTAAACAGACTTTAAAGTCTCCAAAACCATCCTATCGAGCAGGCTCCCTACAGACACAGTGAAACCCAGAATGTGAATTTGATAATTTGAAATAAAATCTAATGACATTTCTTTTTTAGTAACCCCATAGTGCTTTTCTTTGTCCTTAACAATCTGAACATTAGTAGGCAATAGATAAAAGGTAAATGTACTAAAATTAGTTATATCTGTTGATCAAAAGATATGAAGAAATCAGAAAGGAAAGCCATCAAGTGGATGAAAATATTTCTAATACAATTATAACAGCATTCTTACAGCCAGAATACATAAAGAATTTGAAAAACCCAGTAGTAAAAAGACAGCTATCCCAAGAAAGAAATATTCAAAACATTTGAACAAGTACTTCACAAAAGAAGGATCAGAATGGCCAAAAACATACTCAACTTCATCAGTAAACGGGCAAATACAAAATAGGACAGTGCAGGAATGGCTAAAGTTTAAAAGACTAACAACAAGTGTTGGTGAAGAAGAGAAGCAGCTGGAACTCTGATCCACTGCAGGTGGAAGTATGGTGAAATGACTTTGGAAACCAATTTAGCAATATCTGCACATCCTGTGATCCAGCATTTCCACTCTTAGGAACATTCAAGAAACATCCATCGGGAGTCAGGTACAGTAACAGTCATAGCAATGCTATTTTGTAAGAGACCCAAACTGGGGAAAAAAACCAACGAACCAACAACTTTCACTAATGTAAGTATTTTCATATACTGGAGTACTAAACAGCAGCAAAAATATATCTGAAGCTAAAGTCACCATCAAACTCAGTGAAAGAATTTCAGTGAAAGAAGCCGGACATAGAAGAATATGTCATAATAGCATTTCATAAAATTCCCTAAAGCAGGAAGAACTAAACTCTAGTGTTATGAGAGAGAACAGCATTTTATAATAACTAAAAACTGGAAATAATCTAGATGTCTATCAATGGGGGAACGGTTGAATAAATTATTGTATATTTATATAATGGAATATTAGATAACGAAGAAAATGAACAAATCTCAACATGCAGCAACATGGATGAACGTTATAAACACAGTGTTGTATGACAGAAGCAAGATGCAAAAAAGTCTATGGTTCCATGTATATAAATTTCAAACACAGGCAAAAACCTAAACTTTAATGTTGAAGTCAGGATATTAGATAGCTTTGGGGTAAAGGCAATGGATGGTGACTGGGTGATGAATATTTTCTTTGTGTTAATCCCTTGGGTTGTCCATTCGTGTTTTATGTATGTTTCTCTTTGTATGATTTCTTTCACAATTTGAAAAGGTTAAGCAACGAGAGAGAGAGTCTGCCTTGGATTCATTCTGCTTGGGTTCATATCCCAGCTTTGCTGCTTTCCAACTGTGTAACTTTGGGAAATTCACTTAGCAGCACTAGGCCTCTATTTCATATCTGTAATGTGAAGCTAATAAACCTATTTTGTAAGATTTGTTGCAAAGATGAGACAAATATTGGAATCTTTGCTAAGATGTTAAACACAACAACAGCTGGCACATAGTAAGGGCTGACTCATTGCTAACTCTTGCTATTGTTATTGTTGGTATCATTGCCAGTTTATTTGTTGAAAGGAATTTTAAACTCCCGTTGGAATTACATTATATTTAGAAATCTATCATGGCTGTCCATGTAGGCTAGTTTTTTATGGTCTCAGAAATATTTACTTTTTTCACTCTCTCTGTTATTTCATAAATAATCATCAAGTATTTTATAGATGTATTTTAGAGTTGAAGTAGAATTTTCTTTGCCTTGCATTTTGTAGTTGTACATATAGTATATATGTACCGTACATATGGCATATAATAGCTAATACTTAGTAAGACTTACTGCTGCCAGCATGGTTCTAAGCGTTATGTAGATGGACACTTTTAATCCTGTGTAAACTCCCATTTTGCACAGATAGAAACTGAGACAGAGTTAAAGATGGCTAGTATGTGGTCTGGGATTCAGTCTGGGCTTAGAGTCCACATTTACCCCACTGCTCTATGCTAGGAAAGCTGCTCATTTTTCTATTTTTATTTGGTAACTGACCAATTGTACTTAATCTGATTTTCTTAGGTTGATTTTCTTAGATTTCCAAGAAGCCAGCTATATCGTTTGCAAGTAATTGTTTTTTGTATACTATCCACTTATTCTTTTTTTTTGCGTTATGCGGGCCTCTCACTGTCGTGGCCTCTCCCGTTGCGGAGCCCAGGCTCCGGACGCGCAGGCTCAGCGGCCATGGCTCATGGGCCCAGCCGCTCCGCGGCACGTGGGATCCTCCCGGACCGGGGCACGAACCCATGTCCCCTGCATTGGCAGGCGGACTCTCAACCACTGTGCCACCAGGGAAGCCCTATCCACTTATTCTTGTTCTTGCCTTATTGCTTTGATTTTAACTTTCAGGGAAGTGTTTATAAAAATAATAGAGTGGACATTCTGCTGTTATTCTGATTAAATAGAAATGCCTCTATTTTTTACATCTCTAAGAATGACATGGACTATTGACCGGAGAGTGTTTTCTTTATGTTAAGGATGTGTTTTTTAATTTTTGAGTTTACCAAATGGTTTTTCAGTTGTTCATTCTGTTTTAAAATCAGGGATGGGCTTTAAATGATATGAAATGTCTTTGTGTGTCTATAAGATGATTATATAACTTCTCTGTGTTGAGCTATTGACGTGATGAATTGTATTAATATGTAGTCTAATATTGAATCATCTTTGCATTTCTAGAATTTTTAACATAATGCTGAATTTAATTTGCTAAAATTTCTGTAAGATTTTTGCATATATAAGTACAAGTGAGATTGGCCTGCACTTCTCTACCATTTTTGTTAGGTTTTGGCATTGGGTGAATTCTAGCTATGTGAAGGGAATCTGGAAGATTTCTTTTTGTGCATTATACACTGCATTTTAAAAATAAGTTTTGAGTACATTTTCTGATATGGCTGCCTAATACTGTTCATCCCTAGGTTATCTTCAGACATGAGCAAAAGTAGAGAGATTGGCATTCTTTTTTTTTTTCTTTTTTTGCGGTACGCGGGCCTCTCACTGTTGTGGCCTCTCCCGTTGCGGAGCACAGGCTCCGGATGCGCAGGCTCAGCGGCCATGGCTCACGGGCCTAGCTGCTCCGCGGCATGTGGGATCTTCCCGGACCGGGGCACGAACCCTTGTCCCATGCATCGGCAGGCGGACTCTAAACCACTGCGCCACTAGGGAAGCCCGACATTTTTTTAAATTGAAGTATAGTTGATGTACAATATTATATGTTTCAGGTGTACAGTATAGTGATTCACAAATTTTAAAGGTTATACTCCATTTATAGTTATTATAAAATATTGGCTATATTCCCTGTGTTGTACAATATATCCTTGTAGCTTATTTTACATATAATAGTTTATACTTCTTAATCCCCTACCCCTATCTTGCATCTCCCCCCTCCCCTCTCCCCATTGGTAACTACTAATTTGTTCTTTATATCTGAGTCTCTTTTTTGTTACAGTCACTAGTTTGTTGTAATTTTTATATTCCACATATAAGTGATATCATAAAGTATTTGTCTTTCTCTGTCTGACTTATTTCACTTAGCATAGTGCCCTCCAAGTCCAACCATGTTGTTGCAAATGGCAAAATTTCATTTTTTTTATGGCTGCGTAGTATTCCATTGTGTGTATGTGTATGTGTATATGTATATATATATATATATATATATATATATACACACCACATTTTTATCCGTTCATCTGTTGGTGGACTTTAGGTTGCTTTCATATCTTGGCGATTGTAAATAATGCTGCTGTGAACACTGGGGTGCATGTAGAGAGAGATTGGTATCATTTTGTTCACGTCTTACTTCACTTTGTTTTTCTCTTGAGTATTTTGAGCCTTGCTACTTAAAGCATGGTTTGCGGTTTAGCAGCATGGATACTACCCAGGAACTTGCTACAGATGGATGTAATCATGTGTACATAACTACACGTGTCACATCATCTTTGCCATATTCTGTTGGTTAAAGGCAAGTCACAGGTTCTGCCCCCACTCTTTTTGTAGATTTTAAACTATCATTAATCATGTTGTTTTGAGATGTTTGAATAAGTCTTTGAACTTTTAGTAATTTGTCTAGGGTCCTGGAAGGGAGCTACAAAGTCAAAGGTATAAAGCTTTTAAAGGCTTGCATGACTGTTGTCTAATGGCTTTTCAGAAGATCAATACCTCTTTTGTTACATGGTAAACAAATGGCAACATTGACAGTTCATCAAGGTGCCTTTTCTGCCAAGTAGAGATCATTAAATAATGAGGAAGCAGGAAAGAGGACAAGAGTGATTAGAAATTCTTACTGTAAATAACTTTGAGCAATTGATACCTGAAAGCCTGATGGTTATGTGAATTAATTTTCACCAATCTAAACTGTTCAGTCAATTTACTATTTCTAACTAAATGGAATTCAGGGTATTTGTTAAGAACCTTTTGGGTGTCTTATCTAGTGTTCGATACTGTAAGTGAGAGAAGAAAAATATACCAATATCTGTGCCTTTATAAGGCTTCTGGGAGTCTTATGACATTGTTTACGTTTTTTTCATCTTTCTACAAAACGCAACTTCAATAAATAGAAGTTCATGCCAGGTTTCACCTATGGGTTTAAGAAATTTGAAAATCTTCCTAGGTGATAAAAACAAAGTTGTGTTTTCCTCTGTTTTAGCAACAACGTACTGTCTATAGGCTGACTCTGGTGAAAGCATGGAACGTGGATGAACTCCAGGCCTATGCCAAGCTGGTGTCCCTGGGGAACCCTGACTTCATCGAGGTGAAGGTAAGCCCCTGCCGGCTAGTGTTGGGCACCTTCTCATTCTGCTTTGTTGGCCACGGTGCAATTACAAACTTCTAAAATTCTGCAGGAGGTCCCGGATGTTTTATTTATTCAGTCAGAAATATTAATCAAGATTCCTGGCACTGTTCTAAGTTTGGGGATAAGAGCAGTAAAGACTAAGCATTTGCTCTCACATATGAAAAGCTTATATTTTAGTGAGAGGTAGACTGTCAACAGAAAATGAATGTAGTGCTCACTACATAGTAACTTTAATATGCTGAGAAATAAAATACTGTTATAGTGAGTAATTGGTTGGCTTTTAACTACACTTTTACTATGGAAAGCTTCAAATATATACAGAAGTAGAGAGACTGATGTAATGAACCCCATCCATCCATTACCAGCTTCAAAAATTACTAGCTCGTGTTTCAGCTGTACTCCTACCCATTTTCCTGCCCTTACCTGTGAAGCAAATCCCCACGTTATACCATTCATCCATAACTGTTTTAGTATGTATTTCTAAAAGATATGCACTCACTTTAAACACTTATTCAGAATACTGTTCTTACTAAACAGTTCTAACAATAATCTCATATATTGGAACATATAAGGTTTCAACTTGACCAGTTATTTTAACAGTATTTTTTAAAATTGAAGTAGAGTTAATATACAATATTGTGTTAGTTTCAGGTATACAGTGAAGTAATTCAGTTTTTTTTAATATATATTTATTTATTTACACACACACACACACACACACACATATAGTTTTTCAGGTTATTTTCCATTATAGGTTATTATAAGATGTTGAATATAGTTCCCTGTGCTATATAGTAAATCCTTGTTGTTTATTTTATGTACAGTAGTGTTTATCTGTTAATCCAGTACTCCTGATTTATTCTTCCCTTCCTCTCTTTCCCCTTTGGTAACTGTAAGTTTGTTTTCTATGTCTGTGAGTCTGTTTCTATTTTGTATGTAGATTCATTTGTACTCATTTTTAGATTCGTCACATAAATGATATCATATAATATTTCCCTTTCTCTTTCTGACTTAATTCACTTAGTATGATAATCTCTAGGTCCATCCATGTTACTGCAAATGGTAATATTTCATTATTTTTTATGGCTGAGTAATATTCCATTGTGTATATATACCACATCTTCTTAAACCAATTGTCTAAAGTATTTTTTAATCTGGATCCAAATAAGGGTCAGAATTGGATTATTTCTCTCTTAAATTTCTTTTAATCTATTAGTTCCTCTTCCATGTGTTTTTTTTCCCCCTTGTAATTTATTTTGTTGGAAAAAATGGATCATTTATCCTGGTTAGTTCCCCATATTTATATTTTAGATTTTGGTGATTGCATGTTGCTCTGCCCCTTAGATTTCCCGTGGATTGTTAGTTAGATCAAAATAAGATTGATCATGTTTGTGTGTGTGTGTGTGTGTGTGTGTGTGTGTGTGTGTATGTTTGCATTTCAAGATTATTTCATTGGTCGTAGTGTATGCTTCCAGCAGGAGCCATTTAATGTCTGGTTGTCACTGTCATGTTTTTGCCAGTGTTTCTTTGGGTTAGATACCTGTACGTGGATTGATGTGTCAGAGGGTAAACGCATATGCTGTTTTACTAGATATTGTGGTTGGCTGCTTTAGATTTCAAAAGCAGGAAGGCTTTTCTGAGGAGATGACTCCTTTAAAAACTGATAACTGAATAGTAAGAAGCAGCACAACATGCAAAGGCTTGGGGTCAGAGCATTCTGGGCAGAAGGCACAGCTGGTCCACAGAGGTCCTACATGATCTCCGTGGGGTAGTTGGAGTTGGCTGTGGTACAAGATGAATCAGAGTGGTGGGCTGGGGCCAGATTTTGTTAGGCCTTTCATGCACGGATGAGAGAATCAGATTTTATACTAAGTTTAACGATAGGCTTTTTTTTAAAACTAGGTGTGCTAGGAAGGGGTTTTAAACTGGAGAGTGATACGATCTGATTTATGATTTTGAAAGATCACCCTGCCATTGCCATGAGTGGATTATAGAGGGCAGTAGTAGAAGTAGGTAGACCGGTAAAAAAACTTTTGCCAAGCAAGAGATGTGATGGCGTGGGGAAGGTCATTGGAGAGGACTGGGTGCCCTTGTGATTTATTTTGGGAGTAGATCCAACAGAACTTGTTGTTAGAGGACATGTAGGGTATGAAAGAACAAAAAGAATCAAGAATAGCACCTGGGTTTTTGACTTAAGCAATCGTGTGGATGTGGAACAATTTGCTGAGATGGAAAAGACCAGTGGAGAAGGGAGGCAAATTTAGGGAGTAATTGCATGAGTTCTATGTTGACCTTAATACTTTGAGATAGCTTTTAAATAATCCAAGTGTAGGTTCAAAGTGTAGGTTCAAAGAAGCCACAGGTTCTATAAGCCTGGCGTTCTGGGGATAAGACAGGCCTGACAGTAATGATTTGGCAGTCATCAGCTATAGAGTTTTCAGAGGCAGACAGCTTTCTTGGACAACTAAGAATATACAGAATGAGAGAAAGTGACCAGAAAATTAACCCAGTCTCTCAAAGCTCCACTCTTCAGTTTACGTTTATGAAGCTGGATGCACTGTCACATCAGAGCATGTTTCAGCTTTACAGCCTTTTTTTAGTAAGTTCAGCGTTCTGCATTACGTTCCTCTGGAGGGATGGGGAGGTGAGAGGAGCAGATGAAATATTGCTGAGTGTGTAGCAGCCTCTAGTGAGGTCAAGACACTTTTCTTTTAAAATTGCTCTTAATTTCAAAAGGCTACTCTTGGCAAGAACTCTAATGATGCAGAGAGACAAGCTACACTTTAAATATACGCATCGGCTTAAGGAAACCTTGCCAACATCAGCGATTAGTGGTGTTTTAATTTATGGTTTAGCTATTAAAGAATGCTGCTTCAAATTATGCTGCAGTAAAACCTCTATTATTAACTTGGCTGGATCGCACTGTCACCTTTTTTTCTCCTTCTTTCTTTGCAGTCATGTTTCCTATAATGAAGAAGATATTTTGTAATCTGAAAAGAATCAACCAAATTTTAAAGAAAGATGGCTACTTTGTAAACAGTGTAATTCTCTGATGGGCATTTTGTAATCGGACAAACTATTAACTAGGAAACAGATGAAGCCTTCTACTTATAGCTGAGATGTTATAATGACATAGTTTCTTTCAAACAAGATTTCCATTTTACTATTTTATCCCTGCATTTAACAAATATTTCTGAGCTGTCTTCATGTGCCAGGCCTCGTCAAAGCATCATAGGTACAAATCTTTTTTCTAAATTTGGATCTGCTGTTTGGGAAATGGATGTCTTATTGAACAAGGCAAAATCTACAGAAGTAAAATGAACTACTTTGAGAGATTTTTTTAATTGAAAAATCTTGGAGAAGTGTGTAACCTAATCACAATTTTAAATGTCTTATTTAAATTATAAAATATAAGGTAATAGACAACAGTTTATGTGTATCAGGGGAAAGCATGGGACGATCAGCTGTCTCTGGTAGGAGACCTGTAATATCAAGTACCTGGGCCTTTGAGGATCACATGGTTTATTAAATTCATCTCTCATTTGTCCAGCAAGTTAATGAAGTATCTTCCTCTTAAACTGAAGTAGGAAAAGGGATGTTTACAGAAAATAGTATACTATTAAGAAACAAAATGAGTTATAGAATAATTATTACTTGATCAAATTTTAACAGTATATGTTTAGATACATTTATATAAGAAAAGTATGGAAGGATACATATCAAATCATTAACAGTGTACGATTTGGGAGAAGGGGAAGGAAAGGCTTGTTTTACTTTTCATATTTCTGTGTTGTGTGAATTGTTGCAGTGAGCATGCATTACTTTTATAATTCAAATGATTGAAATGAAATCCGTAAATGGAGAAGGCATGCTTTCCTGTTCAGTAGAGTTAAACTATTTAACGTCTGAAAAGGCAGCTTTTTGTTGTTGTTGTCTTATTAATCAAAGTAAAATTTTCTAAAATGGAAGCGTTTAAAAAATAATAGTAATAAAGCCTCTGCAAAAAACATTTGGTAAGAGCTAGCGATATGGCAGCCTAAGATAACCTCAGATTCCTCCAGAAGCAAACACTTAGAAGTAAATGTTACGGTAAACATACTTTTGAGAGAATAGTCAGTCTGTCAGGTCTGTAAGGGCATTCCTTAGGGGCTGTAAAAAGGGAGATTGCCTGGTGGTACTCTGCAGCTCCAGTAGAGACAGGATGTGGCAGAAGACTAGGCCCTTTCACCTTTAGTGAAAGGACAAATTAGGAAAAAATTCACCCACTGATACAGAGTGGTACTTGGAGGCTTATCCCTTACCTATGCTTTTAGTAAAAAGAAAAAGTCTCTCGGGGCCTAACCCTGAAATGGGGTTGGTGTTAAAATTTACTAGTACCTCAAGGTCACATAAATGCCCTGAAGATGTGAAATTGATAATGCAAAGTGACCCTGGGCTAGTGAAATACCTGAGGCTCTCGGATCCATTTATATCCTTTTCCTGGATTTCCTGGATGTGTGTGTGTGTGTGTGGAGGGTTCACGGCGGGTCTCTCATAGTCTCAGGTGGGGAAGTTGTGCAAGCTTTGATACATTCCTAAAATGTATTCATTTAGCCTGGGACAGGTTACTTATCCTCCTTGAGCCTAAATTTCCTCAGTATTAAAATTAGAATACTAATATCAATTTAATGGACTTGTTTTGAGAATTCAAGGGGATAACATATGCCTGGGTTCAGTAAATGTTTAGATCCCTTTCCATCAAGCACATTATTTAAAAATGAACCAATAGAAGCTGTTTCTCTATTATATTGATTTTCTCTTTTCTTTCACTGCTAGTCTTGTAAAATATTTCTCTGTTCCATTCTCTGTAAATTAACATGTATTTTAGCTTCATTAGGCTTAAGTAGACCTATATTTGCTAGCCTGGGAAGCTTAACCATCGTTATTTGCTTACTTGTTTGTGAAAATGTGTTTCGTGTTGTAAACATCTGCCTTATTGAAAAGCTTTCATAACACAATCCATCTGTAAATGAAATACCGTCTTTGTATTCTCTGCCTAGCACTGCACCTTGAGAAGAGTAAGTGCTCAGTAATTATTTGTTGTCAAATGATTTAAAACTCTCTTCTCATTAGCACCATGACTGTCTACAGAACTCAATCCTTGCAGAATGCATCTTGCAAAACAAATGTCAGCATAGTCTCAATCTCTTTCTGCACACAAATGTAGGGAGTATTACCGGTTGTTCATGTATGTAGCAATACCTAACCAGTGATTATCAGTTGGTTCATAATCATTGAAGTGTAGAAAAATCTTGAAAAATATGAATTAAATTTTGTATTAGATCAGAAAAGAGTTCTGGAGTTTAATGTCAGAGGAACATGTGACTTGCTCTTTAGAACAGATTAGTTGGGGGTACAGAGAAGAATAGGGTGTGGCCCCCACCCTCTAAGAGCTCAGGATTTAGACACATCAAAGTTATGCCAGTTGTCTGAGAAGAGAGATGCACAGGGTATGATGAGATTGGGATTAGATGGGATTGGAGTTCCTGGCCAAAGATCAAAGAGATGGTGGAGAATTTAGCCAGGGAAAGACTGGATGTGGAGTGGGACAGTCCAGTCAGAAGGCCTCAGGTGCTAGGCTGAGAAACGTGGGCTGGTCTTTTGGTGGGGGGGACAGCTATTGGAGCATTTTTAAGATAAAGGAGTGACATGTATTGCTGCAAAAAGTTGTGAAGACATTTCTCCTCAAACTATCAGGGACAAAAACAATCATACCGGGAGTCTTTTGACAACCAGTCAGTTTAATTAGAATATCAAGAGCTCTTCCCACAGACTTTGAATCCCCAGGTAGACTTTGTAAGCAGCCCGTGAAAATGACCCGATGGCCCCCATGTCCTGGAGCCCAGTGGTCCATCCAGAAGTCACCAGTGTGATGGTTTGGGTTGTGCTTTTCACTGCAAACAGGAAGACGCATAAGTGGTCCTGCTCTTCAGGAACTTTCTTTGGGTCTTCTTGTCACCTCTCAGCCTCTGGAATTCTGGAATGAGTGCTTTCAGTTGCCACATTATACCCATCTGTTTTCTTGAGGACACTTTTTCCAAAGTTGTGAGGCAAGAACTTGGTGCTGGTGATAAACAGGGTGGGAGTGGAAGGTGGTGCTGGGATGAGAAGGTGGCGGGCAGCTGCCATGTGAGGGAAAGCGCAACGTCTTTAGACTCTTCAGGGGCAAGTGCGATCAGGAACCCAGTCTGGGCGGGTCGTCGGTAGACCGCAGTGTGCGATGAAATGAAGCAGCCCATGTAGAGGGGGGAGGACCGGAGCGAGGTGTTGAGGAGCCCAGCTGAGGGAGGGCTCAGGGAGGCCGTTCAGGGAGGCCGGTTTCTACCCATGGCAGTTCTGTCACGCGCAGGCTCGGCCTCCGCAGTCGGCTCAGGAAGTTACCCACACTCCCCACCTCCGAGGATTTTGTCCGGCTAAAATGAGAAGTTTTACGTGAAAATTGCTTTGTTAACGGTAAAGCATCATGCGAACGTATAGAGAAGTATAATGTGAAGGCATAGTGATGACCTATGGCAATCATTCTCTCATTTCCCTTCCAAGCCAAATCTCTCCTTAGCATTTCATGCTTTATTATTGCTGAATAATCGATATTATTTTCCAAAGCCATTGTCATGAATATGAGATCTTACTTAGGGACTTCCCTGGTGATCCAGTGGGTAAGACTCCACGCTCCCAATGCAGGGGACCTGGGTTCCATCTCTGGTCGGGGAACTAGATCCCACATACCGCAACCAAGAAGCCCACATGCCGCAACTAAGACCCAGCACAGCCAAAATAAATTTAAAAAAAAAAGAGCTTACCTAAAACCTCTGCTTCAATGAACTAACATTTTAAATATTAAAAATAAATTCCTGGGACTTCCCTGATGGCACAGTGCTTAAGAATCTGCCTGCCAATGCAGGGGACACGGGTTCGAACCCTATTCCGGGAAGATGCCACGGAGCAACTAAGCCCGTGCGCCACAACTACTGAGCCTGTGCTCTAGAGCCCACGAGCCACAGCTGCTGAGCCCACGTGCCACAACCACTGAAGCCCACGTGCCCAGAGCCCGTGCTCTGCAACAAGAGAAGCCACTGCGATGAGAAGCCCGCGCAACGCAACAAAGAGTAGCGCCCGCTCGCTGCAACTTGAGAAAGCCCGCGCGCAGCAACGAAGACCCAACACAGCCATAAATAAATAAATAAATAAGAAAAGTATTATTAAAAAAATAAATTCCTTTGAATTAAGCAGTATCTACATGGTTGTTCATATATTTCGTCCCTCATAAACAGTATTTAAAGTGAAGTAAAGTTCATTTCTATGACTAATTTGACTTATGAATAAATCATTTTCATGTATTTGGGCAAGTTTAGTACAAGTTTTCAGCCACGCTTTCTTAAAGATTTTTTAAACTGTTGTATTATTTGCTTTTTTTATTCAGCTAAAACCCAAATTCAGTTTAATGAATTCTGTAAATCAGTGGGCTAATAGAGAAGCTTCTCTTGATTATTGTAATTAAGCTGGGTCTCCTTTAGTTTATGTTCAGCAAAGGTCGTCTCAGTGTAGTACACCAGTAAGTAGTCTTTGAACAGCCATCTGGAGTAGAGGGTTTTGCAGAACTCATCTGAGTTTTTTGGCCCCCTCCCAGCACTGCCATCTGTAGGGTCAGGGTCACTCTGCAGTGCTCATTGTAGGCTTTTCATTTAATGTCATTCTGTCCCCTCCAGTCTGTGTGTGTGAGAGAGGGAGAGAGAGAGAGCGCGAGTGAGAGAGAACCTCATTCTATTTTAGTTATTCCCTACTTAGTAGCACATCTAGACTATTCGAGTCTTTTTTCAAGAAAGTTTGATTTCTTGGGTATTTATAGAGCCTACAGAGTTACGATAGTCAGTATTGAAAATTAGTCATTAGTCACTTATCACTATGTAACTTACCAAATGGAAAACTTAGTTATAAAACTTTTGTGTCTTACATGCCTGGGCTGTCAGGTAGAATTAAAAAGAGTTAAAAACCAATTTATCTTACTGCATTTGTACTGAATGGGAATTTCTCTAGGGGGTAGATACACGTATGTACATGTAGATGTGTGTAAAGGTATATATATATACACATATCTGTGTGTGTATATATATATATATATGTATATGTATTTCTATACATGTATTTTCATTTTGGCATGATTCTGTGTTTATACATATCCACATAAAAAATGCATTACAAAGTGATCTCCTTAGAATGATTCCAAAAGAATAATTTGAAAGGGATCCCTATCTGGCCCTTTACAGAATGTTTATCAACCTCAAATCTAAATTATACTAGAAAATAGGAGGTTATCTTATTTTCCAAGTCAGTAAATTATTCACTGAATTTTTATGGGTGTCAACTATACCTCCATTATTGTACTAGGGGATTATAATCCCATGAGAATTGATCTGTTATGGTGCACAAATGAATCTGAATGGAAAGACATGTTATTAGTTCAGATACATTATTGTGAGTAGACAGTGTAGATGGTGATGTAGCCCAAAGCACAAGTACCCAAGAAGCATCAGGATTGTCAGAGTGTAAAGAGCACTGGCTGGGAGCTCCAGTGCTGTCTTTGTCACTCGCTACTTGTATGAGCTTCCAAGCAAATTTTATCATCTTTGTACTGCTTTCTTCACTTGAAGATGTGGATTGGCTTGGCTTGGCTTGGATTGGTTGACCTGTAGAAGCCTTTCTGGCTCTGAAGCTCTTCCTCTGTGACATTTAAATAGGTCTGTAACTGTCTCTGACTGTTGTAATGTTTCCACAGGGTGTTACCTACTGTGGAGAGAGTTCGGCAAGCAGTCTTACCATGGCCAACGTGCCCTGGCACGAAGAAGTGGTGCGCTTTGTCTGTGAGTTGGTGGATCTGATCCCCGACTATGAAATTGCTTGTGAACACGAACATTCCAACTGCCTCCTGATAGCTCACAAGAAGGTAAGAACCAGTCAAGTATGCATTCTTCCATCACCCTTGTCCTTCCTGCTCTCTTTTCTCTTTATTTTCCCCTCAGCTTATTATAATGAATATCTACTTGTTTGCTACCTTTCCTAAAACAAACATTAAGAAAGCCCCGAATTCAGTCTGTTGGACCCATAAACTGTCTTTTCTGTGTGAGATTGCTTTGTTTTCAGCCCTCACCAAGGCACCTGAAGTGCTTTCTGGCTTGTAATTGGCGTGTGCTGAGAAACAAAACAAAACACCCTTGTAATAACCTCTAGTCCTTTCCCAGAATGACAAGGGAAAGTGAAAATAGTAAACAAGCCCCATATGAGTGTTTCTGACTGTCAGAAGAAATATTGAGATGTTTATCAAATTTTAGATCACTTTGAATCTTGGCCTCTGCAGAAATATTTCTGGGATTTTGGTTTTCCTTTTTCCCTTTTAGTGTTTTTATTAGACAGAACGAGTGCCTGAATCTAATGTATTTTTTAAGTAAATAATGCCTAGCAAAGGAGAAATTCAGTTTTTAGTAGAGGTAGGCCATTAAAAAGAAAAAAACCCAATCAGAAGGCCAGTGTTCGAGTAGCGATCATAATGATATGTCCTTACTGAAATATTTATACAGAAATAATATAGTGTCTGGGATTTGATTCAAAATGATACGAAGTAAGAAGTATGTGGGTGTGTAGATGGGTTGAGGGTTGTTGAGGCTAGATGATGGGTACACAGAGGTTTGTTTTACTCCTCTGCCTAGTTTCCTGTTCAAACTTTCCATTTAAAAGTGCTTTTTAAAAAAGGGGACATGGTCGAACCTTGAAATCATTATTCTAGAAGAAAAATCAACACAAAAGACTACATAATGTATGATTCCATTTATATGAAATGTCCAGAATAGGTAAATCCTTAGAGATAGAATGTGGTTTAGTGGTTGTTGGAAATTGGGGGAAGAGCAGACTGGGAAGTGACTGCTAATAGGTATGGGATTTCTTTTTGGAGTGATGAAAATGTTCTGGAATTATTTAGTGGTGTTGGTTGCACAACTTTGTGACTGTACTAAAAACCACTGAACTGTATACTTTAAAAGGTTGAATTTTATGGTTTGTGAATTATATCACAGTAAAGATAAATTAATACCAAAAAGGTAATAAAGAACGGGCTACCTTTTCTTATAAAAATGCTCTGTATGCAAGTAAAGTCAGGCTTAATTGAACACGAATCTCACTTTTTCCTCCCTCCACAACCTAAGTGGCTTCCTGAACAGCTTTGCAGGTTAATGATATCTAATAATATTAGAATCACTCAATTAAAATTTCACGTGGTCTAGTCTCAAACAAACAGGAGGTAAAAAGGCCCTCATGCCTTGGTGCCAATTAGATTGTATATATCTGACCTAATGATCTGTCAGACTTAAATATTTAGACAGAAGAATATGTACTGGGAGCATTAAGGAACAAAGAAATAAAGGCTACCTAGTATTTGAAACGTTAATAAAGTAGCTGCAAAGACAATTAACTTACAAAGTAAATCTTAAAAACTAAAGCCAAAACTGAATTTTATTTTCTAGCTTTTTATTCATTGTTACTTTTTTAGGTAAGGTAGCACCTTCAAAACAAATTGTTTGATTGGAGGGGCAGTGCTCTGGAAACAGTCCTGACAATGGTAGTAAAGTTCTCTCTTCTTCCATAAGGTCTTCACACCATAGCCAAAGATGTCTTTATAGAATGTAGATCTCTGCTGCTTAGGTGCCTTTGATTGACCTCCCATTGCTTTTAGCATGAAAATCAAAATCCTTAATGTGGCCCCTAGGGTCCTATGTGATCAGTCTCTGTCTGCCTCTCCAGCTTCTTCTGGAACCCCTCTTCCTTCTCTTTCTGCACTTCTCTCATTTTCTCAGCCACAGTAGGTCTTATTTTTCCTCCAGTTAGGCTGGGAATTATATACTTTTTCTACTCTTTTAGTGGGTGCACTAGAAATTACTACATGCAAACTTGACTAATCAGTCTAGTGTTAAAATACTTTTACTCTGTAACTGTGCAAAGCAAGGACTTTAGAACACAACCTCCATTTTTCCCTTCCCAACTCATGCTGTCATTGTTGTGTATGTTAATTATAAATGTAAGGACAGTATTGTTAATTGCTTTATGTAGTCGGTATTTATTTAGATTTACCTGCATTTTAAACATGATTTTGTTCTCTGTTCCTTTTTGCATTTTTGAGCCTCCATCTGGGACTGTTTTCTTTTTGCCCAAAAAGCAGCTTTTAAAATTTCCTTTAGTGGAGGTGTGCTGATGGCATACTCTCAGTTTTTGTCCAAAAATGTATATTTTAGCTGGGTATCAAATTCTAGGTTGGCATTTGTTTCCTTTCACCACCATAAAGATATTCCCCTGTCTTTTAAGTTCCACTGTTGAAAGGTCAGCTGTTAGTTTGTTGCTTCTTTTAAGGTGATTTGTTGTTTTCTTCCCTCTGGTTTCTTTTTCTCTCCCTTTGGTTTTATGCTCTAATGTGTCTAGACGTGAACTTCTTTTTATTTTCCTTTTTGGGACTTCTTGGGCTTCATAGATTTGTGGGTTGATACTTTCCATCATTGGTTGAAGACTTCTTAGCTTTTATTTCATTAAATATTTCTTCTTCCCCCGTATTTTTCTTCTGGAACTCCAGTTAAACATGTTATTGTATTTTTTATTTCACTTGGACAGTTTCTTTTGATTTGTATTCCAAGTCACTAATTTTTGCTTCAGCTGTGTCTCATATGCTATTAAATGCCACACCAATTTTAAAATTTTGGATAGTGTGTTTCTCAGTTAAATAATTTGTTTGTTTTGTTTGTTTCAAATATGATATATCACACTGTATCCTTTCCAGTTCCCTGCTGAAATTTTCAAGCTTGGCTTTTATCTTCTTGAATACTGGAAATTTCAGCTATTTCATTGTTTGTATCTGATAACTCCAATATCTAAAATCTCTGTGGATTTGTTTCTGTTATCTGTTGTTTCTGTTGGTTCTCAGTTATGTTGCCTTGTCTCCTTATGTACCTTATCTTATTGTGTTATGTAGAAAATTATAGAAATAATATGAGGTTTAGGATTAGAATATCACTTCTGAGATTTGGAGACACGTTTTACCTCACTTTTTTCCTGTGGAAACTGATCAGATGGTGAAGAGACTTCCTTAAAGTCTCATAAAGTGGCTGAGCCAAATCTAGACCCACAACCTTCTACCCTCTAGTCCATTGGTCTTTCTTATACTACAGGGCATCTTTTGATACCACTGACGCCATTCAAAGAAGAGTTTAAAACTGGGAAATTTTATGTTAGACCAATACTTGACTTCAGTCTCTAAGATTTCTTCTCTCTTCCCAGTGTAAACATGGACATAGGGGAAATAAATGGCACCGTATCTCATTCAGGCCAGTTGAGTTCTGTAAGTGTTTATTAGACATCTGCTGAGTTCTGACACCAGGCTGTGCAGTGAGGGCCGCAGCACCTCAGCCATGAAGAATGTCAAGCACAGCCATGGATGAAAAATCCAGTTTCTCTGCATCCTAACCAGCATTTGGTTTTGTTGTTTTTTTTTTTTTTTTTTGCGGTACACGGGCCTCTCACTGTTGTGGCCTCTACCGTTGCGGAGCACAGGCTCCGGACGCGCAGGCTCAGCGGCCATGGCTCACGGGCCCAGCCACTTCGCGGCATGTGGGATCTTCCTGGACTGGGGCACGAACCCGTGTCCCCTGCATCGGCAGGCAGACTCTCAACCACTGCGCCATCAGGGAAGCCCTGGTGTTGTCATTTTTTAGGTTAGCTGTTCTAACAGGTTTGTCATGATCTCAGTGGGTCTTAATTTGCATATCATGAACATGATCTGTTTAGATCTTTGATTTCGTTAATGAGCATTTTATAGTTTTTAGTATACAGGTCCTATACTTTGTTAGGTTTATACCTAAGTATTTTTCTGTTTTAGCAATTATAAATGGCATTGCATTTTTAATTTCAGTTGTCACAAGTTCACTGAATTCTGTAGAAATAGAATTAATTTTTGTATGTTGATCTTATATCCTGCAACCTTGCTGAGTCACTTATTATTTCCAGCAGGATTTTTTTAGTAGATTTCTTGGGGTGTTCAACATAGACCATTATATCTTCTACAAAAAGGGACAGTTTTGTTTCTTCTTTTTCAGTTGGCATCCCTTTAATTTCCTTTACTTAATTACATTTTACTAAGACTTTGAGTACTTTATTGAATAAGAACAGTGATTTCGGACATTCTTGTCTTTTTCCAGAGAGTGTTTAGCCTTTCACTGTTTAATTTTATGTTAGCTGTAGGTTTTTTATACTTGCTCTTTTCCAAATTGGGGAAGTTTCCCTCTATTTCTAGTGTTTTGAGGGGTTTTATTGTGAATGGGTGTTTATTCACAATAAAATTATTAAGTCATATCCTTTTTCTCTGTTGCTATGAACATGTGATTTTTCTTCTTTTACCCATTAATATGATGGATTACATGGATTTTTGAATATTGGACCATGCTTGCATCCCTGAAATAAAATAAACCCTTCTTAGTCATAGTGTGTATTTCTTTTTTATATATTGCTGAATTCTTTTTGCTAATATTTTTAAAAAGATTTTTGCTTCTATGTTCATGAGGAATATAGGTCTGTAGTTTTCTTTTTTTATACTGTCTATGATTTTAGTATTAGGGTAATACTGGCCTCTTAAAGCAGGTTGGGAAAGGTTTCCTCCTGTTTTCTAGGAGGAATTGTGTGGAATTGGTGTTAATTCTTCTTTATATGTTTAGTAGAATTCTCCAGTGAAACTGTCTGGGCTTAGAAGCATATTTTGGGGGGAGTTTTTAAATTATGAATTACATTTCTGTAATAGTTACAAGGCTATTTAGATTATCTTTCATCTTGGGTGAGATGTGGTAGTTTGTACTTTTCAAGGAATTGGTCCATTTCATCTAAGTTGTCAAGTTTATGTGAATAAATTGATCATAGTAT